GCTCCGCCCACTTTGGGGAAGCCCCGCCCACTTTTCGAAAATGATGCAAATCGGCGGGCTAGTGTCCGTACTGGCGGATTACGGCCTCTCCCGTCGCTCAGAACAAAGTTTTCCTTTTTTCCGGTTTTTCCTTTTTTTTCGCTTTTTTAGGCTTTAGCGATTGGCTCCGCCCACCAATGGAAGCTCCGCCCACTTTGGGGAAGCCCCGCCCACTTTTCGAAAATGATGCAAATCGGCGGGCTAGTGTCCGTACTGGCGGATTACGGCCTCTCCCGGCACATAGAATAAAAAAAAGGGAAAAACCGGAAAAAAGGGAAACTTTGTTCTGAGCGACGGGAGAGGCCGTAATCCGCCAGTACGGACACTAGCCCGCCGATTTGCATCATTTTCGAAAAGTGGGCGGGGCTTCCCCAAAGTGGGCGGAGCTTCCATTGGTGGGCGGAGCCAATCGCTAAAGCCTAAAAAAGCGAAAATCCGGAAGAAAAAAATTCCGCGATAAACACAAGTGGGCGGGGTCAGAGGGGCGGGGCCTGGTGTGCATGGTTATTCGTTTTGTGAAGATTGGATGTGAAAAGAACTACGTCGAAAAAAGTTATAAAAATTCAGAACTTACGTAACTTCATTGTTAAGTGGGCGGAGTCAGATCTGTATAGGTATCAATCTTTTTCAGTTGAAGTGTGTGTGCAAAGGGCAAAAACGAAAAAAAGTCGAGGGAGCAGATTTCATGAAGCATCTCGGAAAACCCTGTCCGCGCTGAGAAGTGGGCGGGGATAATGGGGCGGGGCTTGCAACAGTACCTAGTGTGGTCTAGTTATCAACCACCTAATTGTAAGGGGTGTGTCCGATTTGATTTGAAAAGTGTCCGATTTGGTTTGAAAAGTGTCCGATTTGGTTTGAAAAGTGTCCGATTTGGTTTGAAAAGTGTCCGATTTGGTTTGAAAAGTGTCCGATTTGGTTTGAAAAGTGTCCGATTTGGTTTGAAAAGTGTCCGATTTAAAGTGAAAATGGTATATACATACGGACAGACGACGATGCAGAGTCAAACTTTCCTACATCTTTTCATGACCCTCACAACTGAACCACGGCATCTAAAGCTCAAGTATGGCAGGCAAGAAGACTGCACACATTCCAGTCAATTTTTTATATCATTAGAAACATAATATATATGACTGTTAGCCTACATGGATCAGGCCACTTGATAGCGCTGTGGAAAATTGCAGCTATACTCACAAGGGAACCCCAACAGGTCGATCCGGCCATTTACAATGAGATGTATATATACGTATGGACGTGTCTTGAGCCGCTGAATCCGAATCTGCCCTCCGATTTTGCGGAACGATTCTCTGAAGGGAGTTACGGACCATTTAATCTTTGCTGTGTTTGCACAAGCTGACCATTGAAGGCCAACACGTCAGCCCGGCAATTCGCAACGAAATGTACA